TTTTATATATAAGACTAGATAACCCGACAAACGTTGTTTTGCCATATAAATTATTTCTAGTTTCTAGATAAATTCTAGTGTAGACAAAAAGTAACTTACTTATTATAAGTGTGTAAGTCTGTGGTATATGCATGAAATAGGCATGGAGCGCTATGAACGAAAAGGAAAATAAAAATAACAAACGCCAAAGTTATTATAGTTTATTTATTAAATTATTAATTTAAAATCAGTAGATTTGTATGATACCAAGTTCCCTGGCAACAACTGTTGTATCTTCAAATTTAAATTGTCTTGGATTGACTCTAAATAATAATAATGATAATGGGCCAGTAACATTAACCAACAACAGTTGAAGATAAAAGCACTCAGTGTGTCTTGGATTAACTGTAAATAAGCGTTCGATTTAAATGAATTGAGACATGGATCAACTGGTGAAACTTGCTTGCGGGGCATCCATTTTTTTGTTTGAGCCCATGTGAAATAGCGTGGTACTTGTGAATAGAGTAATGTTCTTGCAAAGGCACCAAAATCATCCGTACTATTACACAATTCAAAAAATGCAGTGAGTGTAGTTTTAGGTGGATTTGTACCACGATCAATCACTGTCTCGTTCGTGAAAAATACACGCTGACCGTTTTCAAGATGGACGGCTAACTGAACAGCTGCTGGATCCCGTTCATGAATTAGAAAACCGAAGATACGCCAAGCAGCTTTATTGGAGCTGATGTACCGACCAATTTGGTAGAACGTAATTTCACCGTTTTTGTTCATTGGAGGAGCATTTACATTAGTATTTTCTACTCTAAACACAGCCATATCACTGCCTTTATGGACATACTTATATATTTGATGCTCTTCACAGAACTGCAAAACTCAACATTTATATGAGCATTGTATGTCTTGCTTAGCAGAGGCGAATATGGCACCACCCGCCATTGTCCCCCATTATCGGGATTTCTTCGACGATATATTGGATATTCGTCGGTATTTGTTATAGTATCATTAGTGAAATCTTTAGAAAAATTTTTAGTACATTTTCCATCTGCCATGCAAGGCGAAGACGAAGAAACGAAGTGAATGTAAATGCTCGATGTACTTGTTGGCGTAGTTACATAAAATATTAAGAAAAAAATTTTTCTTTTTCAAAAATATAAAAAAATTTATGTCCAAAAAATAAAAAAGTTTTTGTTAAAGCAATAAGGATATTTTTGTTGGGTAGGGACTCCCTAATCACTTTAGCGGTATGAAAAATAGATAGTAGCCGATTCTCAGACCTACTGAATACGCATATAAAATTTGGACATCGTTTGGCCTTGTGACTTATTGATGGTCTTTGCAAATGCCAATCTAATAGAAAATTTAACGCGTTTGAATTAAATTGGCTTGTCTGTGAGAATCTTTGAATTCGTGGCAATAAAACTTTTTCTTTTCGGAACTTGCCATTCAAAATGGTGGCTTCAATTTTTTAATTACCAATCGCGTACTATTGCATAGCCGTGGTGGGTTCAAATTCCGAAGTAAAATAATCGGTGATCCAACTTTCAGTCGTAAAATGTGTGGTGGCATGCCTGGCAAATCCAGTGAGTTTAAAAACTCTGCTGGATAGTTTACAACTTCGTTGGTATCACAAACTGTATCGATCGATTTGTTTGATATTAAGTCGCCTGGCAATATCTGTTTTATCTTGAAGTTTAATTCATCAACGTCCACATTTTTTTGCTGCTAATGGCTCTTTCTGCCAGCCACCATGATTTATGTATAGTATGTGTACATCTGGAAATACGCGGTCAATGAGAGCATTAATGCATTATTAACGATAATGCAGATTTTAGGGGGCAGTTTTATGAATTCAGTATTTTCATAGACAACAACTTTTCATATCATAGCAAGTTTTCTTTTTCAAAAATATAAAAAAATTTATGTCAAAAAATATTAAAATTTTGTTAAAGCAATGAGGATATTTTTGCTGGGTAGGGACACCCTAATCACTTTAGCGGTATGAAAAATAGATAGTAGCCGATTCTCAGACCTACTGAATACGCATATAAAATTTGGTAAAAATCGGTAAAGCCGTTTCGGAGGAGTACGGTAACTAACATTTTGACAATGTTAATTTTATATATAAGATTATAAAAATGTATTTATAACATCAACACGTTACGGTTTGGGTTGATGCGTATAAAAGACAACGCACTTACCATAGACGGTGCGTTCGAAAATAGACCACAGACCAGAAAACTTGGTTCTGGGATATGGAGGTAAGCACATCAGAGCAACATAAGCATAGCGAAGCTAATAGGAAAATAAAGCCATATATCCTATCAGGTATGTATATGTCAACATCTCAATTTCCACGTCCGCACGTCCACGACTGAACTTGCCGCAACAAAATAGTGTCGTAACAATAGGAATCAAAAGCAAAGATATGCATAAAAATAAAAGTGTTGGACAAGGTGGCAGCACATAAAATAATAGCTTTAAGTGCTGTGCAGACTATCATTTTTGAGTGTCATTCAAGAGAGAAAATTCACGAATGACATTTAAAAACGATAGTCTGCACATTTGAATGGCACGCAACCAACATGTTGGCGTGTTAACCAAAGTTATGGTAGTGATAGTATAATAGAATGTTAGTCTGTCGCCTAAAAACTTGCATTCGTCATTCAAGAGCATATTTTAGCGTGTGTTCACTAATACACTTACAGCGTTCGCAAACACCCTTATTCTTCTAAAATTTATGTGGAATGGCAACTCGTGATTGTGAACATGTTTAAGCTCGGTCGCTAGAATAAATTTGAGCAAGAGACAGCGCAACTTGAATGACAGTCAATAATGATGGTCAGCACCACGCTTCACCGTAACAAAATAGCGAAAACGCATACGTTAAGCAATGGAAAAGGACAGGAGTTAAAACGGAAATAAAATCGAATATGATCGGACGTGTTTATTGCACATATTAGGTCTGTTTTACAAGCTACTAGTAGTAAAACTCTAGTAAAACACAAGTAAAATTTACACGAAAATACGCGAAGATTTGCTGGTGGAACGCACTTGTGTATACACACTGTTACTCAAAGTTACTACTAGTAGCTCCTGGAGCAGACCTATTAATTGTTGTGTTTTTTTTTTTTACTTTATAATAACATAAATTAAAAATTTATCAAGATGTGTAAACCCTCCGTATTTTCTTGTTTTTTTTTTTAATATTGAAATGTACTTTTAAAGTTATATTCAAAAACGATTATAAGTAAAATACGGAATTTGCTTATAGAAGTGTCGATAAAATACTTTGTTTATGTCGTGATAAAACATTATTAACGCAATTTCTATCACTGAAAGCGTCCAAATATAAAAAGCGAGTGTTGTGGACATGTTTTATTATTATAAAATAGCTTGTATACTGAAAAAGAGGAACAATCCGAGCATTAAGTTAATTGCTCTGACAAATTCACAGCATTTGCAAATGAATAAAGTAATGTCAACCAAACTTGATTGACCGGCAATTTCTTCACAAAAGTGGAAGATGTTAAATTGCTTGCAAATCTTGGACTCACACACACCTTTCGATCGAATAAGAAATTTCTTCCCAATGAATTAAAAAATTACTTTGAATTTAATTTATTCATTTAATTCATTTATTCTTTTAATTTAATTTATGCTTTAGTTTAACAGCACATTTAAGAAAGTAGACAAAGTGGAGATATTAATATGGAGAGGATTATAATATATATATATTCTTAAAATTAACTTCCTCAATAAAAGAGTTTCATTGTAAACTTAAAGAACTTAGCAGAATATTTGCTTAGTAGAGTAATTTGGAGGAACGATGGAAGATCCCAAGTTGAGTGCACTCTAGAATTAAGAATTGTATAATAAATATGGCTTTTCTCATGAATAAAATGAACTTACTTAAATTTTTAATGGGTTGCAAAAAACATATAATTTTAAAGAAACGAAACTTGCATTCAACAAAACTGAATTTAATTCTTACATTTAAATATTATTATTAATATTTTCTTTGTTGAGCTAAAAATTATATATATTTACATATTTCTTTTTCTTTTTAACAAAAGAGGAATGATTTTACACTTACCATATTAAAATTCGTAGTAATTAAGAGATAACTGGATACTTAGCATATGAACACATTTTTAATCTCACTTAATAAAATACTAACATTTTGTTATGCATATTATACAGCGTACATACATATGTACATACTAACGTACTTATGTAATTCAATTATAAAACTAATTTTATAGAATTTCACAAAGTAAAATATTACAAATATAAAATATAAGCTTCACATTTTTATTAAT